GTAATTTTGTGTGACTTTTGTGATGTTAACATTCCATGAGTTCTTGATTTGACAGGCTTGTTTTGATTTTTTAAACAGTATCGCCAGGCGTATACGGGAAGCAATTCTTCACAAATCCAAGCAGCTATGAAAGGTTTTGAAGAAGTCATAAAGAAATTCCCCAAGTGTGCTGAAGGCTATGCACTATATGCCCAGGTAAATGTGATTTTTCTTATTTTTTCAGTTTCCAGTCTTTTTTTTTTTTTTTTAAGGACTGCATTTGTTTGCTGAATCCCAGTCTGGAAGTTGGAAAACACTGCTTCCCTGGTTGCAGCTTCTGTGGAAGCAGATGGCTTTGCTCCTTTGACTCCAGGCCCTCAGGATGGTCCAGAGTCACCTCAGGAGGGGCCTCTATGTCATACAGTTTGAAAACCACGGGCCTAAGCTCATAACATGGGGAATCTTAAGCAGAGCATTTCTCTCATGTTTCCATTTGGATTGGATTTGTAAAATTTAATTCCTTAGGAAAATTTGCTATATTCAGTTGGTGGGGAAAATGTCTGTGGAAAGGGTTTTCTTTAAAAGTTTTGATCACTGTCCTTTTAAATGGTTTCAAAAGACTAACAGTTCATTTTAACTTCTCTGGATTGTCCGATATTCTTGGCTTAGGATTGAACCTATGGGAAGTAGGATTTAAATTTGAATTATTTATTTACTACTTTTAAATCATCCGTTTAAATGAAAATGATTCGCTTTTTACAGCCACAGTTACATTTTCCCTCCAACTAAATGATTTCTGAATGACTGTTTTCTCTTAGTCTTTAAGTTAAAAGTTGCTTTTGGTATCTACATAAACCATCCATGTTAATACTCTTTTCTATCTCATTTTTTTTTTATTCCAAAGAAATATTGTCATACCCACCTACACATCATAGAAATAGGAAACATCTAAAAATGACCATCCTCCAAACCATTCTTAAGGTTACTTGTTTTCTTTTTAATTTCCTTCATGCTATCTTTGGTCAAGGTAAAATTCCACAGGGTGAAACTTTTTCTGAGGGATTATTAAGAGGAAGTTTGAGAAGATTGATTTGATCCCAGTAGAATTTGGATCTGTTCTCTAAAGCTCTACATATCACTCCATTATTAGAGATTGAAATTCTCGAATAATTCTCTGGGGTATGAAGTTCAGCCCAGAAATTCTTTCACCTCAGTTAGAAATAATCTTATCTATTCAGTCTTTGTTCTTACAATTTATAGGCAGGATGGTGATAAAAAAAAAATGAAACATTGGTTGCTGACTACAAAGCATGTACATATAAAATTTTATAGAATGTATAGAAGTTCATATATCACGTTATAATTGCATGGCATCTGCATTGATGAGGTACACTTGGGTTTATGCCTTATATTAGGAACAAACCAGAAGGTGATAACACCATCCACATCACTGAAATGAAATGCAAAAAGACTTTTTTGGTGCAAATTTCTATAAGCAGCAAAAAAAGCAAAGGCCACTGAATAGCTTTTAAAGAAACCAATATTAGGAACAGCTCTCACAGAGCTTTCCTAATTGCACATTTCCCTGTGACTGTGCAACGTTCAGAATAGGCTTCCGCTTACCTGAGCTGTCTTATTAGCATTAGCATTGTTACAGTCTCTTTGCACTACAATTTCTATCCTTCGGTCCCTCTTCTGATTTTTGCTTCACTATATATGTAGTTATATGTAACTTTATATATTACACACACACACGTACACAGAGTTACATAGTTCAACTTTTTTTCAAACTCTCAAAATTTGGGCTTAGATGCTGGCCAACTCTCAAAATTACAGTTTGAGTGTGTGATCTGGTAGCCACATAACCAGCCCTTCCATTTTTGCCATGGGATTTGCCTTAAAATAGTTGATTGTAGCTGCTTTTTTTTTTTCACCAGTAATTTTTAAGGAATGACTGCTAACAGTGAACACACATCCCTGAAGTTATCCTTCTAAATGAGTGTTGTCTTTAAATTCTCATAATAGGATGTATTACGATAAATTATAAGTCACATAAATGTACCTGTGAGAATCTGATATAAGAACTGGCACCAAGAGTGGGATTTTATATATTCTACAGTTTACCACATATGCTGTTGCATTTAACCACTTGCCAAAAAAAGAGGACAGTTAAGATTTCAAATTCATAACGATGTCATGTAAAAACCCCAGTAATTAAGTTGTAACATTCTAAATGAGTTTGTATCCCCCAAACATTATTTGGTAATAAATGGAAAAAGGAAGTAAATTTTAATAATAAACAATATACTTTTAACTGCTTAGGTTGACAGTTAACCTTAATATAACTGAAGTATCTCCTCACCTAGGCATTAACAGATCAACAACAGTTTGGTAAAGCTGATGAAATGTATGATAAATGTATTGATTTGGAACCAGATAATGCCACAACATATGTTCATAAAGGGTATGTATTTTTGTGGTTCTGTTTGTCCCAGTAAGAAACTAAATTTCTTGCATAGTAATAAGATGGATTTCTTTTGGTCAGTGAGGAAGGAGACTGGTATAGTTAACTGACAGATAGATTTCTTAGTTGTGGATGCTTCACTGTTAATTTTTAAAATTTTACTTAATGTTTTATTCTTATATAGCAGTTAGTAAATGTATTGTTTTCACTCTAGCTTAAGGATTTCAGTTCTGAATACACTGTCAAATGTTACTTGTATCAAAATAGGAAATATGTAAAATAAGTTTTTCCTGTTTTTGTATACTTGAATTATAAAAAAAACTTCACTTAAATTTATACAAAGCAAAAAATTAAGCTTGCATGGTAAGTTAGTAACAGACTAGACTGCTGGACAATTATTGAGATATAATTGATACACATCATATTAGTTTCAGGTGTACATGATTCAGTATTTGTATTTATTGTGAAATGATCATAGTAAGTAATTAACATGTCATTATACATAGTTATAGACTTTTTTTTCTTGTGATGAGAACTTTAAGATCTGTCTTAAGGCAACTTTCAAATATACAATACAATATCATGAACTGTAGTTGCTATGTTTTACATTACATCTTCATGACTTATAACTGGAAGTTTATAACTTTTGATTCCCTTCAGACATTTCGCCCACCTGCCTCTGGCAACCATCAGTCTGTTCTCTGTATCTGAGTTTTGTCGGTTGGTTTTTTAGATTCCGTGTATAAGTGACATAATATGTTATTTGTCTTTTTGTGTCTCACTTAGTTCACTATTTAGCATAATGCTCTCAAAGTCCATCCATGTTGTTGCAGATGGTAGGATTTCCTTTGTTAATGGCTGAGTAAAGTTCGAGTGTGTGCGTGCACACGTGCACTCCATGTTTTTTTATCCATTCATCCATCGATGGACAATTTGGTTGTTTCCATGGATACTTTTTTTCATAATAAGGAATTGAGAGTACAAAACCAATATAAAATGCAAACAATTTGATGCTGAGTATGTACAGTTTTAGATTTTGCTTTTCCTTGTAAATTAAATTCTAAATTCATTGAGGGCAGAAGTTGAGTCATGCACTGATGTTCCTGTTGATAATGGCTCCTGGTCACATCTGACTACCTTTTTTGCATTTGCAGTTTACTTCAACTTCAGTGGAAGCAAGATCTGGATAGAGGTTTAGAGCTTATCAGCAAGGCTATTGAAATTGACAATAAATGTGACTTCGCGTATGAAACCATGGGAACTATTGAAGTGCAGAGGTAACTCCTAGAGTCTTTTCTTAGGAAATTTTCGGCAGCTTCATAGATAATCTTTTCATTCTTCTCATTACAGATGTGTTATTGTCAGTTTCCATTAAGTTTTTAAGTCTTAATATGTTATGCCTTTTGAGGCAAGCTTTCTTCAAAACTATACAACTTCGATTTGCCTTGTTTCATTATTTTTCCAATGTAAAAGTCACACTTATAAAAGTTAAGTCAAGCACATGCATTACTAAGGGAAACATGATTTTTCTCTAATACCTGCTGTGTGTTCTTTCCTCTTTTCACTTGTATTATTCCTGTTGGAGCAAAAACAGCCTGCGTGTGCTTAGGCAGCGCAGGTAGGAAGGTGGTAGCCAGGCTGCCAGAAGACCTGGATGCTGCTACAGAGCAGCCAGCAGCCACATGCCTGGGCACGCGGCAATATCATGTCTGAGCCCCTAAGTTTTCTTTAAAATCAGGGAGTTGGGTAAGATTTTTTGTGACTGTGACTCCTCATAATTTCTTGTTTTGTGTAAATGGTTATCCAGAGCTGCACTTGAGATCCACCATTACCAGGTGACAATTGTTTGTGCCGTGGAATTCAGTGTAGTGTTCCATCTTAATACTGGCATTGTCGTCCATTTCAGTACCTCCTCTGGGGCCAGGCATGAACTTTAGGTGTTTTCCAGATATTATTTCAATTGATCTTTACCCCAATCTTTATAAATGTGGAGATGATACGATACTCAGTGTAACTGAAGCCTGTAGAAACTGATGCCCAGGCTGGTTGACAAGGTTACATGATGAGCCAGCAGTAAAAACAATGTGAGCCTGTATTTCACTGATACCGAAGTAACTGATCTTGCCACTGTTGCTTGTCAGAAACCAGTAGCTGTCATCTTAATTCCGTCACAGCCCCTCGTGGGGTCAGTCTTCTCTCTGCTCCAGAGTATCAGAGTGTGTGTGTGTGCTGATGAGTTTTGTGGTTCTTTTGAACCATTCTATACTGACAGTTGCATAAATATTATTTCTTAATTTCCAAGTTTTAATGTGAATGAAATATTCTCAGAGTAGGATGGGGTAGTGGTTCTTTTTTTGAGCAAATTTTTGGATTTTTCTTAGAATAATGTACATACAAAAAACACTTTCCATTTAAATTGTTTCTAGAGCCTGGATTAAGGACCCTTGACTTAACAGGGTTTGATGGATTTTGTTTGCATATTAATTGTACTTTAAGAAATTCATTCTAAATCCTGCCTTACAAATAAGTGAATATGAATGAGTGAACGGAATTGCTGATTACCCTAGGATTTAGCACATCCGCTGTCTACCTAGTATCTGAATTCTTAGAACAAGTTTCTTTTAATAAGTCTATCATGTGGCCATATATTGTAACAGGAGGTTAAATATAGTCAACCCAGAGGTACATTGTACTTCTTAGAATCTAACTGGCATATACATAGTAGGGACTTAACTATATTGTAAGATCTCATGAATACTAATGAATACTAGTTACTTAAAAGAGCCCTTGGTTCGTGGTATGTAAAGCCAGACCACACTTAGACTGTCAGAGGTAAATTATATATTTTTAACCAAGCATATTCATCCATTTACTCAAAAAACATACTAATTACCAGGCATTGTACTAAGTTCTAGGAGTTGAGGGTTGCCCATGTTCATCTGACTATTCGTAGAATGACAACAGAACTATGGGAACACTGAGAGGGAGCGGGAAATATTTTTCATGAAGATACTATATTTGAACTGTGCCTTGGAAAGGGGAGGTTTTGACTAGTTAGAATCAAGCAGAGGCACTTGATCATGTAGTTGTATGTGCAGGTATGAGTGTGTAGCGCAGTCAAGGAACTAAGGTAGACCCATGTGACGAGTAGAGGTGCACAAGATGGGATGTGGTGGGAAGAGATGAGGCTGAAAGGTCTGTGGCTCAGATCTGTAAGGTCAGGCCCCCACATGCCATTACTGTTCTGTGAGGCTGTCACTGCTTTCTAACGGAGCTTCATGATACAGGAGAAACACGACAGGAAGATTTTAAATAGGTCATTTATTCTCACTGTTCTTACCTGTAAACAAAGACTGAGAGATATAATGTAAGCACACAGTATTTGTAATAGCTAACATTCATTGAGTGCTTTTTGTGTGCATTGTTTTGTTACAAAGAAGCATTTTATTAGAATCATAGTTGAAACTTAGTGGTCAGACTTCATGTAACATCGCTAACTTCATTGCATTCTGTGAAGTGCTTGTTGAATCTGAGATGTTTGTAATTTTTGTTCTTTTAGAGGAAACATGGAAAAAGCCATTGACATGTTCAACAAAGCTATTAACCTGGCCAAATCGGAAATGGAGATGGCTCATCTATACTCACTCTGCGATGCTGCCAATGCCCAGACAGAAGTTGCAAAGAAATATGGATTAAAACCACCAACATTATAAAATTTGGGGGAAGGAAAATGACCCTCTTTTTAGAAGTTTTCCCCTCTCCAACTGAACCCTAAAGACACTGTCATGAACCTGTTGAATGGTGGAACTTAGTATTTCCGTTTGTGCTGTTGTCATTCGTCACACCTGTTCACGTTTAGGTGTTGTGGGAAGTGGCTGAGGAAGGCAGTGTGCGGTGTTGCAGCTTTTCTTCCGTGTGCAACAAAAGCTTACAACTTGTTAAAGGGATATTAAAATAAAGTTGCAGAGTACAAATGATAATTGGCCATGCAAATAAACACTTTTGACTTTTTGTTTAGGGTGGGGGTTGGGGGGATGGTTGTTATCTGGATGATTTTGTCTGTGTGTGTGTTTTTAGTGAGTATTTTACAGCATGTTGGTTTTTAAATTAACATAGCCAAGTGCTCTAAAATAGGTTTCTTTGAGATTCGATTAATCCCTTTTAGTTGATTTTTTTAAGGAAACCAAGTTTAAGTGGGGATTTTGTTCTTAAGGCAGCAAAACTGAGAGACCCTTTTAAACTATTGTCAGCATGCACAATGCCTCTGAATCTGCAAATGTTAGACTCAGTGGCAACTATTACGCCTTCTGACCCTTCACCTCTGCTGAATAATGTACATAATTCTTAAAGTGTACAACAGCTGGTTTTCATATAGTCAATTATGCAGGAGCAAAATATTCTGATTGATATATGTTCTGGAAGACTGAGTACTAATGGGAGAGTGGACCAGATAAGAGGTAAGGTGAAATGTAAACTTTTTTATAATGGCCCATAGCTATTTTCTGTAATAGGTATCAATGTACTTTTTAAAGAAAATACAGGTTGGTATCACTTCATAGTGTACTTTTTAAAGAAAATGCAGGTTGTATGTATAAAGATGGAATAAGTGTAATATGTGGGAGTATTTAATTAGCTTAAAATTTCTAGCGAAGAAAATGTGGCTAAAGGTTCAAAAAGGATGTAAGTCGTGGAGCCTGAAGCACAGGGTAGTGCTTCAACTATGGCTGAATGTACTTAATAAATTTTGAGCCAGTATTTTCAAAGATGCTGAGGAGTGCTATTTTGCACTAACCTTGGTCTCTAAGGATAACGGGTTGCCCATGTCCAGGTCTCCACTAGGGAGAGTCAGGTTTTTGTTTTGTTCATTTTGTTTTTACCTCACCTAAGAAATCATTTCATGGTTTTTCTGTTTCTTCCAGTTGTCACTTTTATAGGCCATTCTTTTGCTTTTAAACTGCATTTTTCTGGTGGTTGTATTCTTAAGGGGTCTCTTAAGAATGAAATATTTGGGGTGGGGAGAGGTTTATTTAAGCCTAAAAATAGTAAAAAAGCAAGCTTTTAATTATACTTTCCTGGAAATGAAATCTAATTAGAGTTTACATTGTTGGGCGTAAAGGAGCATTTTACCCCTCTTTTAAAAGGGTGCTTTATCCTATTGAAACCAAAAAGATTTTGTCTACAAATGCTGTCTTTTTAGAAACTACTAGAAATGACTGCCTTCCAAAGTTAGAGTCTGGAAAATATAGAGGGGGCTTCTAACTAATTAGCAGGGGCAGTTAACATAATTTGACTTGGGTAATGGAAATATGAGAGCTCTGCATTTTAGTTCTTAAATTATGTACCTACAGTAACTCCTAAATACAGAAATATTCTGTATCACTGAATAACCTCTGACCTAAAAAAGTTTTTATTTGCATGGCTGTATTTACACTAACATATTTTCTTCTACTCTTCTCCCTTCCTACCCCTTGGGGTTGGGTAGAAAAACACACAAAGGAAATTGAAGCATGTACCATTCAATACTGTCATTCCAAATCTTTACGGACTATTGCCTGTTCTGAAAAGTATTTGAACCTGCACTGAAAGCTGCATCTGTCTGTATCTTTTGTAAATGACCTCACATGTAAATTCACCAAATAAATATTACATTCAAGCTTTTCTATCCTTTAAATCTATTTGCAAGCCTTAAACACACTGTGATAGAATGACTAATGGTCCCCCAAACGATATCCACCCTTCTTCCCCTGGAACCTGTGGTTGTTACCTGGTATGGCAAAAATAAACTTTGTAGACATGATTCGGTTAAGGAGCTGGAAAATTATCCTGGATTATGGAGAATTTCCAGTGTGGGTGCCGAAAGTTATGTACAGTGTTGTGTGGAAACACAGGTGAAAGTTAATGAATTCTGCTAGGACTTCAGGGATCTTCTTTCTGGAAAATGGGGCAACAACCAACATTAAAAAAAAATCTAAGTGAAGGGACATTATGAGTGAGCTGAAAATAAGCCATCAAGTTAGAGCCCAGCAAGACAATTTTTTTAAACTGGTAAGGAGTTGCCAATAGTGGAACTACATGCTTGAGAATTATCAGCATATGTTTAAGACCATGCATGTAGGTAAGATTACTTTAGTACAAAATTAAAAAGGGTAAAAATAAAACTCTGGGAAACGTGAACATCTAGGGGACAAAGGTAGCAATGAAAAAGTGATGCTAGAGAGAAGACCGAAGATCACATCGACGGTGTTAGGTTTCAGGGAAGCCAAACAGGCCTGCTAATAGATCACTAGTAATCTGCCAGGGAAGTGTCACTGGAATGGTGAGGGCAGAACTGGGCTCCAGGGTCTGAAAAGTAACTGAAAGATGAAAATCAGCGAGCAGAAATGATTCCTTTAAGAAAATGGGTGAAAAAAGTTTTAGGATGGCATGGTTTTTGTTTTCAGGGAGAAACTTTGAGAATGAATCTACAGACACAACAGTAATAGTTGTGCACAAAAGAACTACATTTGTAGGTTTTAACATATTTCAGAAATGGCTAGAATCACAACACTGCCCACCATGCTCCATTCTTAACAGCTGCTTGTTCATCAGGTGAATTTTGAACTAGCTACAAAGCAATCATTGAACAAACGTCCTTGTATATATGTGTTTTAGTTATTTAAGTGCAGATCTGGGTCTTAATTCCTGATTTTAACAAAACCATTTTATCGTAAAATGCGTTCTCTTACGACGACTAGCTTAACTTATCCTCCAATCTTCATTAAAGACGAAACAGCTTAATGAAGATGATATTTTGACAAATATGAAGCCACAACACAAAGGTAAGGCACTAATGAGAAAAGCCCATCTGCAGCCCGCTGTGCTGGCCACGTCTGGTCAGTGCAAACATCACAAAATGCACATCTTTCCCCTTGCCGTCCCCTGGCTGCACCAAACTCACCACCAAAACCCATCCAGTGTGCTTAAGAGGCAGCATCAAAGACTCAAAACCAGGCTTATAGAGCAGAATGTTCATCCTGAAATCAAAACAACTAAGCCCCTTTTCACCTGGTGTACTCTGCACAGATGTAACTTGGTGGCAGCAAGGAGTCCTTCCCTAAATACCCACTTGTCACAATCCGACTACTATGTAGTCATTCTAAACCCTGTAATGTTAGGAATGTAGTCATTTGCAACCAGCACAACCACCATGATCAGTTAGCTGTCAACTTCAAATGGCTAGGGTAAAGTCGAGTGGCACATCCTAGCTTATTTCAACATAGGTTATAGTCCCTGTAAGGGAGTCACTTTGGTTGGGCTAAATGTGTTACCTTAACTGCAGGTGACTGATTCTGATGTGATTATTGGAAAGCAGGAGAGGTCTTCAACCAATGATTCTCAGCACCCACTTTCAAAAAGGTTTTAAATATCAAATGAAACCCAAAGCAAGCAAAAGAAAATAAGAGCAGAAATCAATGAAATCAAATTAGAAAAACATAATGGAACCAAAAGCTGGTTCTATGAAAACAATAAAATTGATAACCTCAAGCCAAAATAGCCAAACTTAAGAGACAAGATGCAAATTACCACACATTCCTTTCAGACCACTGAAGAGGAGGTCTGAAAGGAATTTTATGAGGCCAGTAGACCCTGACACCTAAATCCAAGGTATTACAAGAAAAAAAACTACAGACCAATATTCCTATGAACATAGATCCAAAAATTCTTAAAATGTAAGCAAATCGAATCCAACATATATAAAAAAGGACCTTAATACACTGCAGTCGAGTGAAGTTTATCCCAAGAACAAACGGTTGGTTTACCATTCCAAAATCAATATAATTCAATATTAGTAGGCTCAAGAAGAAAAAAAAGATATGGTCATCTCAGTAAAGGCAGAAAAAGCACCTGGAAAAATCCAGCATCCTTTCCTGATAAAAACACTCAGTACACTAGGAATACAAGGGCATTTCCCTAAACTGTCTGAGGGCATCCATGAAATGCTTTCTCGAACGCAAACGTGTCCACTCACCACTTCTATTCAACAGTGTACTGGAGGTCCTAGCCAATGCCATACATAGGCCAGAAAAAA